TTTGGGGGTGGATCCAGGAGAGGGCGGGGTTTGGGGAGGGGAGGGGCCTCAGCATGGTACAAGGCCACAGAGTCCACCCTCCAAAGCAGCCATTTTCTCCAGGGGAGGTGATCTCTGTCGGCTGGAGATCAGTTGTAAAAGCGGGAGGTCTCCAGGCCCCACCTGGAGGCTGGCAACCCTAGGCTTTAATGCGGGGTGGTGGTGGGGGGAGCAGAGCATCCCTCCGAGGGGCGGATGTGGTCCAAAGGGATGCTTTATTTTTGAGAACTTTATTTTTTTTTTGGAGACATGTCGAGGATTGAAGATCGTCCTTAACGGACTGTTCATCCATGTGCTTTGACTAGGGTTGCCAGCCTCCAGGTGGGGCCTGGGGATCTCCCGCTTTTTCCACTGATCTCCCGCTGACAGGGGTCAGCTCCCCTGGATAAAATGACTGCTTTGGAGGGTGGGGTCTAGGGCATCGTGCCATGCTGAGGCCCCTCCCCAAACCCCGCCCTCTCCCGGATCCACCCCCAAAGTCTCCAGGTATTTTCCAACCTGGACCTGGCAACCCTAGCTTTGATGCATAGAGGTTTTTTGATGCATAGAGAGCCAGTTTGGTGTCGTGGTTAAGTGCGCGGACTCTAATCTGGGAGAACCGGGTTTGATTCCCCACTCCTCCACTTGCACCTGCTGATGTGACCTTGGGTCAGTCACAAGCTCTGGCACAGCTGTCCTTGAAAAAGAGCAGTTTGTGTCAGAGTTCTCTCAGCCCCACCCACCTCACAGGGTGTCTGTTGTGGGGAGGGGAAGGGAAAGGAGTTTGTAAGCCGCTCTGAGACTCCAAGTGAAGGGCGGGGTATAAATCCAATCTCTTCTTCTTCTTCTTCTTGTAGTATTCTGTGCCCCCTTGCTTTGTTTGTTGGAAAAAAACTGGAAATAAAAAACAAACAGAGGGTTGTTCTATTCCCCCCATAGGGTTGCCATCTTCTAAGTGTGGGGTGGAGATCTCCTGGCATTACGATTCCAGACTACACAAATCACTTGTTTATTACTTATTTTATTATTTTTTATTTATTTAATTTATAGCCCGCCCCAGCCCACGAGTGGGATTTATTTATTTAAGAACGAAGTCCGAAATCCACTGCTTCAGACCAGTGGGGCCACCCACCTGAATTTTATTTATTTGAAACATTTATTCCAGGTCTCCTGGAGAAAATGGCTACTTTGGATTTCATGGCATTAAACCTTTCCAAATTCCCTCCGCTCCCTAAACCCCTCTCTCCCAGGCTCCACCCTCAAATCTCCAGGAATTTCCAGACCTGAAGTTAGCAACTGTATGAGAGGCATGCTAGAATTGCCGACTTCCAGGTGGGACCTGGAGTTCAGCTGGAATTACAACTGATCTACAGACTTACAGAGATCACTTCCCTGAAAATAAAACAGCGGTTTCCACGGGCAGACTCTATGGTATACTGTACAACTGACCTCCAGACAACATAGATTGCTGATTTATTACTTGTTTTTAAAAACATTCCCTTTCTGCTGGAGAAAATGGCTGCTTTGGAAGGTGGGCTGTATGGCATTATACCTTACTGAGGTCCCGCCCCTCCCTAAATCTCACTCTTCCAGACGGCACCCTTAAGTCTCTAGGTCAGAGGTGTCGAACTCATTTGCTACGAGGGCCGGATCTGACATAAATGTCACTTTGGCAGGCTGGACCATGTGTGCCATAAAACATAACTCCAGGTACTAGAGATAGAAACTGTATAAATGACAGCGGCTGGTAAGCTCCGAGTTGGTGTATCCTCACTGCAAGGCCCCATGGGCTTGGAGGGGGGTGTGCAGAGGAAAACCCACATAGGCGGGCTGGAGAGGCAGCAGTGCAGTGCTGGGCGGATGCTCCCATGATGCTTGATTGCTGCAGGCGAGATTGTTCTGCCATACTGAAGCCACAATGGAGTGACTCCCCCCCTCCCCCTAGCACTCCCTCCCTTGCATCAGTTGCTCGCGGGCCACATAAGAGCCATAAATGGGCCAGTTCTGGCCCCTGGGCCTTATCTTTGACACCCCTGCTCTAGGTGTTTCCAAACCCAGGACTGGCAACCCTATATTTGCCCGCCAAAGGCCACCGCCCCTAAATCTCCAGGAATTTCCCAGGCCAAGGTTGGTAATCCTAGGCCGCATGATAGATGTGGAGCGAATGCTATGTGTAGCAACAAAACTTGCCTGGAAACTGTAGCGTGGCCTCTCTCCAGGCCTTTTTGTAAGACGCTGGCAGTGCAGGCCGGTGCTGGTTTACTCTGCATTCAGTATCGTTGAGTTCAGTGTTGCTTACACAAAAGTAGGATTGCTGTCTGAGGGCCCCCAGGAGTTGAATGTTTATTTGAGGCCCTGCACCCTTTAGAGTCCCCCCCCCCCATGGAAGGGGTCAGAAATTACATCTTTCTAAAAACATCTGTATTTGGCATTAACATTTAATATTCTCAGGGGTATCTGGTTAGCCCAGGTGTGAAACAGGATGCAGGACTAGATGGACCACTGGTCTGATCCAGCACAGTTCTTCAAATCTTCTACTATAATGGGATACATTAAGATTTTAGAGAGCCAGTTTGGTGTAGTGGTTAAGTGCGCGGACTCTAATCTGGGAGAATTGGGTTTGATTCCCCACTCCTCCACTTGCACCTGGCTGGATGACCTTGGGCAAGCCGTAACTCTGATAAGAGCTGTTCTTGAAAAAGAGCAGTTTCTGTCAAGAGCTCTCTCAGCCCCACCTACCTCACAGGGTCTGTTGTGTGTTGTGTCTTTTGTGTGGAGGGGAAGGGAAAGGAGTTTGTAAGCTGCTCTGAGACACCTTTGGGTAGTGAAGGGCGGGATATAAATCCAAACTCCTCTTCTTCTTTATGCCTTGAAAATTGGAAGCTTAACAACAACAAAAAGGGATTGGATAGATTTGCGAAGTGCAGCAATCTCTTGGCCTATTGACTCCTCTTGTCACATCAGATTAAGATAAATATCAATGCAGTATTGTAGATTGTATTTTCCTCAAGAAATCTGTGGTGTCACACACATAACTAGGAGCGTTAACACCATAGGGTCTTAGAATAGAGTCAGTGTATCCAGATCCCCCCCGCCCCCACAATGGCATGTGCCTCATGTACTTGTTTCAAGTGAATACAAAAATGTTATCAACATTAAAAGCTTGTTATTCCTGTTTGGTCCTTGAATCTGTTAAACATCTTCATTATAAAGGTAAAGATTCCCTTGCTCAAAAGCCAGTCGAGTCCAACTCTAGGGTTGCGGTGCTCATCTCCGTTTCAAAGCCGAAGAGCCAGCGCTGTCTGAAGACGTTCCCATGGTCATGTGGCCGGCATGACTAAACACCAAGGTGCACGGAACGCTGTTACCTTTCCACCAAAGTGATACCTATTTATCTACTTGCAATTTCTTGCTTTCAAACTGCTAGGTTGGCAGGAGCTGGAACATCATTATATTATATGTTAATTTGCTGCTCACCCTCTACCTATATGTATGGACTGATAACTTCTATTTCATAGGGAAAGTGTTCCAACCCTTCTATCATTCTAGTTGCCCTTTTCCCAATGCTATAATATCCTTTCTGAGGTGTGACCAAAATTGCACACAGTATTCCATTTGGAATGGGATAGAGCAGGTAGAGAAAGAAGTACTTTTTTCCCTTTCTCACAATACAAGAACTCGTGGGCACTCAATGAGATTGCTGAGCAGTCGGGTTAGAACGGATAAAAGGAAGTCTTTCTTCACCCAAAAAGTGATTAACACATGGAATTCACTGCCACAGGAGGAGGAGGCGGCTACAAGCACGGACGGCTTCAAGAGGGAATTGGATAAACATATGGAGCAGAAGTCCATCAGTGGCTATTAGCCAGAAGGTATAGACAGGAACTCTTGGTCTGGGGCAAGCGATGCTCTGTATTCTTGGTGCTGGGGGGGGGGGCAACAGTGGGAGGGCTTCTCTAATGTTCTTAATGTATCTGAAGAAGTGTGCGTGCGCACGAACGCTTATACCTTGAATAAAACTTTGTTGGTCTTAAAGATGCCACTGGACTCGAACTTTGATCAAATGAAGTGTTAACAATACACAGCAATAAGCTATAGTTACTAAAATAAAACAGGAGTCCAGTGACACCTTAAAAGAGGAACAACATTTGTTCTTTAATGTTAGTCTTTAAAGTGCTATGGGACTTCTTGTTTTGTTTTGCCGTTGCAAACTAACACGTTTACCAATCTGGAATTATCTGTCTGATTTTCATAAAACTTTTCCCCCCTTGGAGTTAATTTAGAGTACATTTCTAATAGAAGATCCAGTTGTATGGAGAGAACAGACCATGATGAGTCAGCCTTGTTATTTATTTGGGTCAGTGCTGATGTGTGAGGCCCAGGGCAACTGTGTCACACACCACCACCCCATGGCATGTGCCTCATGTACTTGTTTCAAGCGAATACAAAAATGTTATTCACATTAAAAGTGTGGTTCCAACAGTACTCACGAAAGAGCATATCAGTGAAATACAAACTAGAATCTGTAACCGTGAACCTTTTTGAGTAAGGCACCTAATGCCCAAGCCAAAAGTATTTGATCGGTTTCAATAGAATGTTTATTGCCAGGGCTTTTTTTGTAGAAAAAGCCCAGCAGGAAC